CTCTCAGTCCAACCCATCTCACAGATTTGTTGTTGTGGGGAAAATTGGAGGAGAAAGGAGTATTAGGTACGTTTGCTGCCTGGAGTTATTTATAAAAAATAAAAGGGTGGTGGTGGTAAAACAATCTTTAAAAACCTTTTATGTGTTATGAAGGTTTGAAATCCACTAACTGGAAGATGAGAACATTGCAGGTGGTTTTGGAAGCTGACAACATATTATTCGAATGACATTTGATTTATCTAGTAAAATGTTGCTGGAAAAATTACTTTTACAACTTCTTGTAATTCTTCACACCTCTAAATTCACAACAGAATTCTAAAAGGCCCTCCACTCATTGTGTTAGTCATATCTTTTGAATTCCCAACATTTTGAATATTACTTTGAGTATCTTTGCTCCTAGTTCTGCATAAATAGCATTCTCCTGTACACGTGGAGGAATTCAGAGGCATTTTAAAAGTGCCATCTCCTGTCAACGCCACCATTCTTGTAAGAGAATCTAAACTATCTACTCTAATCACAGGAGATGGTGGTAAGCAATTTGTGACATTATTTTATTTTATTAACACACATACACCATCCTTCAGAATTTAACCTCTTCTTTTGGATTTACATGGGGGGGGGGAATAACTGAAAACAAGTTTAAAACATCTATATTGGCCTGAACCTGCTGAAGCCGTCTTAAGCAAATAGAAGTCACATGGATATTGTGCATTTTTATTTCCACCAAAACATGATAGCAATGGAAATTTTGCAGACTTTGCTAAGTGTTCCTAGCTGTCATACAATAGCTTTAATTTTTGATTTATCCACAGCATTCTGCATATCGCTGCTGAACCTGTCATCACGTTGTCATTGCTTCCTTTTCCTGAACTACTGTTGCATTCTTCTTAGATGTGTGCTATTGGCTGAGATATATAATAGGTAAAAATAAATCTACTTTGTTAAATATAGTTTCCAGAAATGAGAACTGTGTAATAAAACCGGCATAAGATATCATGTTCCATTGCTCTAATTTCAACCGTGCAGGTTTTTGTTTTCTTTGTGATGCCTGGAAAAATGTGAAGATAAAGACAAATTTCTGAAAAGAGAAGAAGGCACTTGAGTTCTGTGTAGGCCCGTGTTTAGTGTTAACGGTGGCACTGGTGTGTGTGTGGGTGTTTTGGTGTATTAATTCCCCCTCTTTTTTTCTGATACAATTTCTTTGCTCTGTACAAAAGGGCAGTAAAATTGACCGAAGGCATGATTAACAGAGCAAAGAGCATGATGGCAAGATAGAAAAAGGCTGAGGATTGCCTGCCTGGCAAAAAGAGGAAGAGAAAAAAAATGCTTGGATGTGCATAGGAATGCTGCCCTGCAGCAAAATGCAACTATCTTTAAAACGTTAAAAAGCTGGAATGAGCAAGCTTCTGAAAAATCAAAGGTGAAGTAAAAGGAATTGGCTTCTGCCTGGCAAAGCTGCCAGATAGGCCACAGGAAGTGGCTCACATGATCAACCAGGAGGCAACTGTAAGCTCCTCTGACAATGTGCCCGAAAGTTTCTGCCAAGAAGACAGATGCCATTGCTGGAAAACTCTGCCATCATTGGGCATGTGGACTCAATGCTTTCCATTTAAAGAAGGGAGGAGGAGGAGGAGGAGGAGGAGGAGGAGGAGGAGATAACAGAGATCCATCCTCATCCGAATCATTACATTTGAATGTTGTTTCATTTTAAAGGCGAACTCTTCAACAAAATGCTGTCACCTCCTTGCCAGATTCATTATTGGAGTTAGAACCAGGATCCTATTTGAGAGTGCACTATTCAGAGCTATGTACTGTACCAAATGCGCCACGGGTTTCCTCTCCCTTCCTAGATCCTAACCTTTTCAGCATCAATAAATCAATATCCTACTGCTTCTTTGTCATACTTTTGATTTGTTCCCCTGACATGTGACCACGTTTTATTGATAGTCCCTTGTGCATGCAACTGGGACATTTCCCAGGCTCTGCAGTCCTGAATCAGTAGCTCAGTGGCGAACTTTAGAGCTCGAGGGAATCTTTTTCAAAAGGAGGGCACATTTTATAAACCCCCTTAGAAGCAAGTTTTCTCCCTTGGATCAGAATCCAGAGTTAATGGGATGCCAGGACAGGAGAATCAAATAACCTTACTTAGCTTACACCCAGAATCTTGGAAGCCAAAGATCTTTTGCGTTTACAGGACATTCATCTGTTGGATTTTAACCAGCTGTAAGAAATTAAAAGAGGGGACCTTTTAGAGTACACCCTCTTGATTTTTCATAGTATTCTAAGAACTGGAAATTTACAAATCACAAAATTGCCAGAGTGGAAGAAATTGAAACCTTCTTTGAACTGCTCAAATCCATGACTTACAAACGCTGGCACACTTCTGCTTATATGAGCTACAATCAAAGAAGATGGAAAAGCACAAAACATAGTAAAAATGAAACAAAGAAATGACCCAAGAAAATACTAGCTAGACGTGGATCAACAAGAAACGAAGTTTCTTGAAAGCTTAAAAAAGATAACATATATACAGTATATATAAAGTATTATTACAACTTTTAATTGATTTCTTCCTTCTCAGATTCCTCCTCCCCCCCATATTTCTTAATGCAATAAGTATGGCTTACAAATTGCAAGGTCACATTGGGATTGTCTGCCTAATGTTCACAATCCTGTAAAAGTCAAAGTATTGCTTCTGACAGAAACAGCAACGTGCTGTAAGGAACGCATAAAAGAAGGCAGACCTTAAAGCATCAAACTGCCAAGTTTTCAACATAAAGGTTGCACCAACACCTTGAACTGAGCCCGGAAAACAAACCAACAGTTTGTAACACAGACATACCTTGATCAAAATGCCTCCTTCTCACCAGCAATCGTACTCCTGCATTTCATACCCATTGTAATTTTCAGACATTTTTCAAGGACAGCACTACTTAGTGTGTATTACAGCAGTCTAATCAGGGAACTAAAGCATGAATGACTGGTAGATGGTCATAGCTTAGCAATAAAATATGGCAAACTAATTAGTAGGGGCTTCCTAAGTTTTTAGAAAGTGGAGTATCTTTTTTGTATCTCTTGGTTATTCAAAAGGCTGCAACAACAACATACATTTCTTGCCTGATAAAACCCAATTCAGTTCATTTTCATTTTTAACAAATCTGAGAAGTGATAACAAGGACATTATCAATAAATTATATTACACCATTAACATAGTAACTAAGCAAAAAAATAAGTTCTGACGAAAGGGCACAATGGCAAGCCTTTCTTAAGGCTAAATGTCATAGTAGTTATTTTTAATACCGGTAATTAAAAAAGCAAAAGAGATGAAATAAGATCTGATTTGTCCAAGAAAGAGAAAACAACATGTTTCTAATAACATCTATTGATACAAGTCAGGTCTTAAGCAACGGGTGGAAACTAATCAAGGAGAGAAGCAACCTAGAACTACGGAGAAACTTCCTGACAGTTAGAACAATTAACCAGTGGAACAACCTGCCTCCAGAAGTGGTGGATGCTCCAGCACTGGAAGTTTTTAAGAAGAAACTGGACAGCCATTTGTCCAAAACAGTATAGGGTTACCTGAGCAGGGGGTTGGACTTGATGACCTCCAAGGTCCCTTCCAACTTTATTATTATTATTATTATTATTATTATTATTATTATTATTATTATTATTATTATTATTATTATTATTATTATCATCATTATCATCATCATCATCATTATCATCATCATCATCATCATTATTATTATTTATCTCACCTGTTTTATTTCAGATGAAATTAGTAGCTGTATCTTTGAATTTTTTTCCTGTCATATAAATCAAACAGCTCAGTCTAGATGGGGATCCTTATATTGGAAGGGCTTTAATGTTTTGGTTCTTGCTGTGGCCCAGTTGGAATTAGTTTCAAGATATCACTTCTGGTAGTGTAAATAGCAGGCCAAAAATAGTTAATTTGGAACAGGATCCTCAGGAGGTCAAACTATAAATCAGCGGTTTTTAAAGTGGGGATAATTTGGGGCATATCCCCGGGGGTAATGGAGCAATTTGTAATTGCTTGTTTGTGAGTCAAGGATCCAGTTTGGGACTGCTATCTTGCAGGTGCTGGAGTAAAACAACAGAATCTGTCTTTGTGAGGGTAATGACATTATTTGAACTGGGAAAAAGCTGGGATAAGTTGATGGGAGCTCATTTTGTCATGTCGCTCACTCTCAGGTTTTGAACTGCTGAGCTGTTGATCAATGGTCATTTGACTTAGTGCCCTAACCACATGAATCATCACAGCCCCTGGCTAGGGATACAAAGCTGGGGATACAAGTGAAGCCTTGAATGTGAATGTGGCTTCACTTGTATCCCCTGGTTAGGGATATGAGTGAAGCCACATTCAAGATATGCCCCACCTCCATTGCTTAGAATCATCATAACATAAAGGTTCTACAAACTCTTGTATAAGGTGTATGTATGTATGTATGTATGTATGTATGTATGTATGTATGTATGTACATACATATACATATATATATACATACACACACACATATATATACATGTATTATACACACACACACACACACATATACACATGTATTTTATTATATAAATATAATACACACACACACACACACACACACACACACATATATATATATATACATGTATTAAAAGACAATGTTTTACTGTCATATTCTCTATATACTGTACCCAACAAAGATGAGGCTAATGAAGATGGCAGTTCTGGCTGCATTTGTCCTTTCCTATGCCAAAATCAGCATAGACTAATATTAAATATGCTTTTCCATTTAATTTCCTTATGTCTGAAATCTAGCATGGGACAATCTTTAAAAAAGTAACATATTCCACACAAGCAGCTTGGTAGGACCTGATTATGTACTGGAAGAGTTCAGCATTGAAGCAATACAGCATGTTACTGAAAACCAGTATGCCATTTTTGTTTCTAATTCCCATTTTCTTCTTTAAAGTTTAATAGCTTTTTCACTTACTTTTGCAGATGTGTAAATAGTATTTTCATGGTGTCATGATTTGGCCTGGGCAATTTCTGTACAAGGTCCTTTATGGCTTTCACTTGGCTATCATGTTCTTGGATTTCTGAAAGAAGTAAAGAGTTATGGGTGTTACAATAGTATCTGACTAGAGTGTTGCTGCTACCATGGTTGAAACAAACAAATGTGATCTGGAAGCGTGGTTATAGCTGAAGTGCCCCCTGTTTTAAGCATTATTTTCCAATAAAGTGTGTTCACATTTCCATACATGACACAATGAGATTTTTAGGTCTGCTGATTCATTATAGCCTCCTGAAGCTCCTGTCCCTCAGAGTACCCTCAGGTTAGACAATGGGGACTCTCAAATGTTGTTGGAGATGCAACAGTGTATTGTGGCTCAGAACGATGACACTATCTCTGATAAAGTG